GATTAACATGGATGACCTACAAATTAATATTTTGTGAATTTTGCATTATATATGTTTTGCCATAGTGAAAAACAGGACATATCATACCAAAGGGACACAGGAGCCAGCTGAAAGACTTCTTAAGGGCCAGAATTGTAGTAATTGGGTTATTTTACCCTACTGACAAAATAAGTATCCATGAGTTACAGTGATATAAATAAATGAGTCTTTTTTATTGACCCAGTTTAGCAATCTTTTTGTGAGCATATGCATATTGTGGTAGTAGGGATTGTACCCATGGCCTCATTGAGCTATTATTCCACTCCACTCACTTTATATTACCCAGACCAGCTGTGCTCCTCCCTCGGCCTTTGAGAGTGGTGATGTTACAGGAATGTGCCACCATGCTCTGCCAAGGCATTAGCAGACGTGAAACAAACACCACTTTCAGTACAACACTGGATTCACCAATATTATTTTATAAGTGACAGAAAATGAACTAGAGATAGCACACCAGTTCCAACTACTGTAGAGTACTTGGGAGGTTAGTGCAGGAGAATCACAAGTTTGGGGCCATCCTGGGAAAATTTGGGAGGCCATTTCCAAAAGCGAATGAGGGCATAGTTGGGGACGTAGCAGTGCTAGAGGTCTTGTTTAGCATGCTTTAGGGCCTGGATTCAATCTCTAGTACCACAAGCAAACTGTTTCTTACAGAATTTCAAGTAGTATGAGTAGTCAACTTTTCCAAAGGTGGAGCTTAATTACCCTGATTCCTTTTGAGTGTGGGCTGGATTACTTGTCAAATTAAAGTATAGAAAGAAAAGTAGTAACTTTTTAAAAACTCTACAAAGACAATCTTAAGAGACCAAGGTGAACATGCATGGTGAAAAGTCATATTGATACCATGTATCCCTGATATTACATGATGAAAAGGGCACTCTGTCTCCCATATTGCTTTTCAAATCCCCAGCCCTCAGTCAAATCCTGAGAAAACATCAGACAGATCTAGTTGCAGGCATTCTGTATATTACCTGACCAGTTTCTTCCAGATTATCAAGGTTATGAAAGGCTGAGAAACACAAAGCAGAGACTAAATACATTGTATCCTGGATTGGATCATGGGACAAAAAAGAATATTAGTAAAATGATGATAAAATCAATAATGAGGAGTTAATAATAATGTATCTACCAATACTGATTTCTGGAGTTCTTTTGGACATATGTATAATGGTAATATAAGGTATTAACATTAGGATGAAGGGTATGAGGAAATTCCAATTATCTTTGCCAATTTTTTGCAAATCTAAAATTATTTCAAAATTATGTTCACACACACACACACACACACACGCAAAGTAACTTTAATGGCCAAGGCTTATCTAACCTTTGTAATTGGAACATTTGATGTTTGAACACATGTACATAAAGAAAAAAATTATCTTTCATTTTATGCATCTTGTAAAGTCTTGGGTTCTAAAACTTTTACACAAAACAGCCTCCCTACCTACATAGGAAGAAGACAGGAAAGTTTCCCTACCTCTACTTGGTTTGGGGTGGAAAACAAATATCTAATGAAAAATTAAATTCTAGGGTTCATCTTCTTAGCATTTTGGAGATTGATATTTGTATCCCTAACAGTAAACAAAACAAAACAAAAAAAACTTAGATCAAGAAGTTAGCTTACAAAGCCAGGTATGGTGGCACATGCCTATAAGCCAGCACTTGAGAGGCTGAGGCAGGAGGATTGCTGCTAGTTCTAGACCAGCCTGGGTTACACAGTGAGTTCAAGGCCATCCTGAACTATACAGCAAGACCCTGTCTGAAAAAAGTTAACATATGTTTTGATTTTAGATCACTAACAAATTTTTTAACTGAGTTTCAAAAGAGATAAGATAGTTTATGATTGGAAAATAAAATCTTATACCAAACTAACACTTTTTTTAACTTAAACATCTTATATTCTTGTATTTAAGAGATGCCTTCATTTTTGTTTTTTGTTTTTTGTTTTTTTTTTTTTTGGTACTGGGATCGAACTCAGGACCTTGTGCTTGCGAGGTGGGTGGCCAGAACCAGTGAGCTAAATCCCTGAACCTGCTATTCATTTTTTAAAAATAAAACTTAATTTTTTCTAGCTGTGTAGGAAAATGGAGCAAATATTAAAAGGGTGGTTATAAAATTGGGAAATAGAGCCAGATGTACATAGTACTTTATTAATATTAAATTATAGTTCATTCATGATAAGGTTTTGGATATTACCTGATGTATTTATTATGACAATCCTCAGCATGCACTGTGTTATTGCAATGATTGTAGTTTGCTTGTTTATTTTTTGCAGTTTTGGGGGTTAATACCAGGGCCTTTACTTTATATCCCCAGCATTTTTTTCTACTTCTTCTTTTGGAAATAGGGTCTTGCTATGTAGTTCAAGCAGGCATCAAACTCATTATATGGCAGTCCTCCTGCCTCAGCCTACCAAGTGCTGGGATTATGGGCATGTGCCACCATACCTGGCCCCTTTTAAAATATTTTGTTTTGAGACAGTCTTAATAAGTTGCCCACAGTGGACTCAAACTTACGATCACTCCTGCTTCAGCCTCCCAGAGTGCTAGAATTATAGGTATACACCACCATGCCTGACAAAAAAAAAAAATCTTAGTTTATTAATGCAGCATTTTCATCGATCCCTGTACGTGTCTGTATGATTTTCTGTTTCAGAATGTTTATGTCAGGTATTTTCACTGAATAACCCTGTGTTTCTGGCATATCCCAGTATAAAGCAATTAAGCAAGTTCAAACTAAAAAAAGAAATTTGTGTTTCCAGATTTTATAACCACCCTGTAACTTGTTAATACTCTGTGATACTTTAAAATACTTTTTTGTGGTCAATAATTTTTAAAACTTTATAAACTTACTGGGAAGTTTACCATAATAGTATTACTGTATTTGCTTCAGATTCATTGTTTCTGTGTTATATTTTAAAGGTAGCATTTTTATTTTTTCAAAATGTAGAATTATAAAAACCGGGCATTAGAATGCAATTATATAAGAGTAAGACTATTGTATCTGTATATAATTCCCCCTCCACATGCCAGAGATTGAACTCAGGACCTTGCACTTGTGAGACAGGTGCAGTGCTACTGAGCTAAATCCCCAGCCCTATGTAATTCTTTAGTGTGAAAATATGCACAGTATAAAAGTACATGTTTTCCTATAATTCTAAGATTGCAATTAGGAGCTGAAAATGTACCTCCTGTTTTATGGCACCATCAGTACTACTACATCTAAGGTAATTTTTCATCTTCAAAATTTGTATCCTCGCAAATCTTAAATTTTTACCAGAGTGAAAATTCTCTGGTTGTACCCTGATGTTGCCCTTGCCATCAATACTGACGCAATTTGACAGTATTCAGATTCTTTTTTTGTGTGTGTGTGCCAGGGATCGAACTCAGGACCTTGCGCTTGCCAGGCAGGTGGCAGAACCAATGAGCTAAATCCCTGGCTCAGCAGTATTCAGATTCTGTTACCGACATTTAATTGTGTGACTATGGGCAAGTTAGCTAACCTAACTGTCTCAATTTCCTCTTCTATAATGTGCTGATGGTATGCACCCTAAAAGATTATTTTGTATACTAAATGGCTTAATAAGTAAAAAGCATTTAGAACAGAACTTGGTATATGATACTCAATATTTCCTAACTGCTTTCCATATACACTATCAACACCATTAATATTGTCTCCTTTTGTGGTTTTCATAGTTTTCATTTTGTGGTTTGACTTTTATAGCATAGGAATATGAAATCCTTTCAAGAAAAATTTTTGGTATTTTTGTTTAATTGAAATGTCACGAATAGAAAAATTAGTGGTGTAATTATCTTCTTTGATTTTCTGATAAAAAAAATTAGTGCTTTTAGAAGCTTTTATTTAGGGTGGGAAAGTAACTAATTGTAGCTTCCTACTCTGTTATACTTCTGTAGTTTTTCTTATATAAGGGTTTTATTCCACAGCTTAGATACAGAGCTTTTGCCAAAAATTAGTAGATTTGAGACATATGGATGGTAGTACTTAGGACATTTTGCTACTAAGAATTATATCTAAATTTTTGTTGTTGTTTTTGTTTTGTTTTGTTTTGTTTTTTTGTTTTTTGAGACAGGGTCTCACTATGTAATTGAGACTGACCTGGAACTCACTGTGTAGCCCAGGCTGGTCTTGAACTCACAGCGATCCTCCTGCCTCAGCCACCCAAGTGCTGGGATTACAGGCATGCGCCACCACGCCCGGCTTAAAAATTGATTGTATATGAAGTTTGACAAAGTAATCTAATATTTTAAGACAAGTTTGGACATGGTGTTATATAGCTTTTTTTCTAGCTATTTGGAAGGCCAAGACGGAGTTTGCTTTTGAGCCCAAGAGTTTAAGCCCAGCTTGGGTAACGTGGCAAGACCTTGTCTCAAATAAATAATTTTTAAAATAGAATAAAAATAAAACAGTGGCTATTATGAAAGGATGATAATCTGGATTTATTGTTTTATTCACCGTCTCTTATGTTCTCCAGACAATCTGAGTAAATTAATCATTGTTTTTTAGGGATCTCATAATGCCTTAATTAAGCTTTAGTATATTTATGTAATATAGTTTTTTAACCTTTTGATTTTTGGTTTTTGTTTCTTTCCTTTTGGGGCTGAGGATTAAACCGAAGGCCTCTCTTGTGCTAGGCAAATGCTCTTGAACTAAGCTATATTACCATCCCTTTTAAAATTTTATTTTGAGATAGTCTTACTAAATTTAAATTGCCCAGGCTGTCCTTCAACTTGTGATACTCCTGCCTCAGCCTCCCAAGTATATGGGATTATAGGCATGTGCCACCATATCTAGCTATGGTTTTACTATTTCATAGTATCATACTATATGACAAAGAAGCTATGATTTACTTTTAGTAAATGTATTGTAAGTATCCCCATAACTTTTTCACTTTGAAAACTGCATTTCCTGTTTGAGTAAACTATATAAATTTCCTTTTCTAGGAAAGAATATCCACCTCATGTCCAAAAAGTTGAAATTAATCTTGTAAGGTTAAGTCGGCCCCAAGGTGTTGGTAAGTGTGTAGTTTTGTTACATTTGTGAAGAGTTTTGAGTTGTGCCTGAAGGGTACAGGTAAAAATGAAACTCTAAATGTTCCCACATACAATAGAAATATATAAAAAACACTTTTGATAACTGATTTGAGAATTTTAACTTGAATGTAATACTGTTGTGATTACAGTCCCGTGAATACAATTGAAATCACAGTCCTGTGAGTATAATTTGTGTTTTTAAAAACTATTACGTGTAGAAGACCTGGAACTGTCCTCAGTTAATGATTTGATCTAAAATTTATGGTGCATCAGGGAACTAAATTAAAATGAAGACATCTGATGAAAAAAGGTTAATAATGTTGAGAAAACAGTGTGACTAGAAATACATTTGTAAAAATTATATACATATATTTTAGTATATATAGAACTCTGGGTTTTATTGTGAAATAGTTTTCAATAAACTCATTAATGCTAAAATAAGGGCAGTGACAGTTATGAAAAATATTTCACCATCAAATGGATTTTACCTAAATATTACCTAAAATATTGATTCTTAATATGTGTCCTTGTTTTTCCCAGGACTTTAGCTCTTAAATTCTAAAATCTAATGATTTTTAAATAGCTAGGTTTTCTTGATAGCTAAGAGTTTGTTTTGTGAAGCAGTCGTATTTTCTACTTCTGGGTAAAAATCCTTTGTACATGTGTTAAACGTATCCCTGTATTACAAAGATATTTATCCAGACTTTATTCTTTCTTATTGCAGTCACTTTGTATATGAATTATTATACTTTGCACTACATAATTATGCTTGTGTTTATTAAAGTTTAGTAATAGTGACTGCCTGCATTACATTTTCTATCTCTGTTAAGCTCTTCCTTTGTACCAGATGCTAAGTCTATTCATTATTTACTGTTACCCTGGCTTCCACCCTGAGATCCCTACAACTGAATTGATCTTTTCCCTGTGTTTTGTACAGAGGAAGAGGCTGGAGCTCAGAGTGATTAAATAACTTACTGAATCATGCAGAGCAAGCAAATGGTAGAACTGGGTAATAGAACCGAGGTCTGTTTGATGCCAAATCCTGTGCTTTTAATCATTGTATTTTACTATTTTCTTAGTCATATAGAAAATAATTTTAATCCTCAGAAATGTGCAAGTATTATCATTTCCATTTAACAAATGCATTTTAGAGAGTTTAACTGAGAGTTTTAGATACTGATAATTCAGGCAGTTTTGTGACAAATAACTAATTAAAGACCATTCAAGAAGTAATAGTATTAGTCTTTGTTGTTGTCAACTTTATTTTAAAATCCTCAGTTGTAAAACTCAAGTTCATTCCAAATTTGGGTTTGAACACTGAAAAGTTCAAGAAGTGAACATATTTTTCCCATAAGAAATAAGAGAAAACCAAATTGGTTTGGATCCCAAATATTACTTATAAGTTCATTTTTCCAGGATTTTAACAAGCTTCACAATGATTTCTTTCTTTAAATAGCTAGTATTGTGATTCTAACATGGTTATAGTTTATGCAGTTAAGAGGAAAAAGCACAATGGTGAATATTTCAACACACTAAGCAAGCACTCGCTGTGTATTGTCTGGGTGGGACAGGCACCTAGATGGACATGTCACTCCTTTGTATCCAGTGAAACGCAACAAGTGTGATGCAATCTCGGCCCACACAGGATTTTTCAAGACCTATTTTTGGTTGGACTATCAAGCAAAGTTATGAACACTGAGTAAACTTTGCCATTTGAGTAGTGGAAGGTTTGAGTTGCACTTGGAGCCATTTGACATCCAAAGGATCACTAATTATAGGCTCACAGAAAAGTTCCAAAACTAGTACAGAGATGACTTTTTAGCCTTCGCCCAGCTTTCCCTGTTGCAAGCATCTTTCTAATCGATAGTACATTTATCAAAACTAATAAATTGGCATTGGCATAAGATTCTTAACTATTGTCCTTGTTCACATTTCATCTTTTTTTTTCCTAATGTCCCTTTTTCATTTCAGGATCCAGTTGCATTTAGTTGTCAGGTTTTCTTAGTTTCCTTCACAGTCTCGAACACTCAGCTGCTTTGTGTAATGCCTCCTCTGTTTGGGTTTGATGGTGTCTCATTATAAGATTGACTGTATGCATTTTGACAAGACTCACAGAAGGGATATTGAACCTCTTCTCAGGGCATGGTGTCAAGCATTACATGACATTCATGAGCCTTACTCCTGGTGATACATACCTTGGTCATTTGGTGAAGGTAATTTCTGCTGGGTTTCTCTACTGTAAAATACTGTTTTCCCTTTAGTACTTAATGAAGATATTAAAGGAGATATTCCAAGTCTCTGGAATTATTCTGCTTTTTCTTAAAGTTTTACCAACTGATTTTATTAGCATCCATTGGTAGATTTTTTTTTTTTTCTATTTTTGCAGTACTGGGGGTGAAACCCAGGCTCTCACATTCACTAGGCAAAGGCTCTATCACTGAGCCACATACCCAAGCTCTTTTAATTTGAAACAGAGTCCTGCTACATTGCCCAGAACTTGTGAACTATCGTCAGACTCCAAGTAGCTGGAATTAGAGAAATGCACCACTACTCTGTTTATGGTGGGTTTTGCTGGCAACAGTTACTGTTTGATGTTTGGCTAATGGTCATTTTCTGTTTTTATCTCATGTTTATTCTATAGGGAAGAGTTATACCTCTTTACATGGTTCTTTATATCTTCATGCTGATAGATGAGTTTCACATGGGCAGTACTTGCAGATTCGGGAGAGAGATGTTGGTATATTTAACTTGTAAACTTTTTTTTTAAAGAAAGGGAATTAAATTAAGATGCTGCATCTTTTTTTTAAATAGAGTCCACCAGGGCCGGGGATTTAGCTCAGTGGTTCTGCTGCCTGCCTCACAAGCACAAGGACCTGAGTTTGATCCCCAGTACCAAAAAAATAAATAAAATTAAAATAAATAAATAAATAGAATCCACCAAAAATGTATACATCAGGAAAAGAAAAACTTGTATAAATATTTTAATACTAAATTTATTGAGACATTATAAGATTAATACAAGGTCCTTGCGCTTGCAAGGCAGGCAGCAGAACCGCTGAGCTAAATCCCTGGCCCTACCTTCGGGTCTTTACAATTACAAGAGGTGCTCAAAGTGATGGTCATTAGCATCTAGATGTTTATTGGTATGGCAAACTGCTGAAGTGTGTATGCATTTTTTTTTGGTGGACTGTATATTGAAGGGCAATAGAGCCATCTCTTTAGCTTCTCTTGTTGGATAGGTGAAAATATATTTGCATGTAGGCTGAATAGCAATGCCATAATAATATTAGATATATTATTTCATTGGAGATTGCAATTTGTTTTAGGATTTCCATTGGATATCCTAGGTTCACTAGTTACTGGCATAGTTTCTGTAATAGTTTTCTCTTCAAAGGAAATACCTCTCTCTGCATTGTCTTTAACACCCAAAATTATTTCTTTATTCTATTTGCCTTTATTTTGAATTTAAGAGGCACTTAATATGAATTTTTGATAATTTATAGACATATATCAGCACTTACTAGGAGTGATAAGTGGTTTTCTAGTTAAAAAGCTCACCAGATGTATTTGCAAACACCTATAATCCCAGGACTTTGGGAGACTGAGGCAGGAGGATCACAGATTTATGCCAGCATGGGCAATGTAGTGACTTAGTAAGACTCTGTCTCAAAATAAACAGTGTCAGTAACTTAATAAGTTGCCCAGGCTAGGTTCAAACTTGCATCTTCCTGATCTCAGCCTCTCAGAGTGCTGGAATTACAGGTATGTGCCTCCATGTCTAGCTTGATTGCCTTTTTAATGAACTTATATTGTGTGGTTATAGCTCAAGCATCTGGTTTTTTATTGTAACACATATACAGAAGAAAACAATCCTCACACACTCCACAAGGCAGGACTGCTATTATCATTTTAATATAACTTCGGACCAGTCAGCTCTGTATGTTTATAATGCGTATTAAGTGTTATATGTAATGTAGAGATGATTCACATGATACAGGAAATACATAGGTTATATGCATACTATTTTATGTAAGTAATTTATGCATTTGCAGTTTTTGTTATCTTTGAGGGGTTCTAGAGCAAGTTTCCAACAGATAGTAAGGAAGGACTGCACATGCCTTTTTTAGTACTGTGTGTACTATTCTGTACATTGTATGGTGAATTTGCTTATTTTTAAGTAGGATCTGGCAGGTACATATTTGAGCAAAATGATGTACACAGGTTTTGTGTAATTTACAGAGTTCAGTAAAATGTGTTTATGAGGGAAAGGCTTTCTTTTTTGTTCTAATGATTTTAGTAAGGCCAGAAAACTGGAGGAGTGAGCGTGTTTTGGGTTTTGCTTGGTACGTTGTTTTGAGATAGGGCTTCTGTGTTGTTTGGGCTGGTCTCTAGTTCCTGGGGTCAGTCAAATGGCCCTCCCAGCTTTTTTTTTTTTTTGGTACCGGGGATTGAACTCGGGTCCTTGCGCTTGCCAGGCAGGCCACTGAACCGCTGAGCTAAATTCCCAGCCCCTGGCTCAGCCTTTTAAGAAGATGGGACACTGTGCCCTGCTTTGGTGGCTGTGTTTTAAGACTTCTCTATTGTAAATTAAATTTCATAAGTAATTGGTGTGTTCTGGGTAACTGTATTCTTGTATTTTCTGATTTTCAAATAATATTTTCTGCCTCTGTTGTTTTACTCATAGTGCCACATTAGAGCACTTTAATAATCACTTGTATGGAAATTTCTTGTTTATATCTACTTAACAAAGTAAGCTGTCCCTTACGGAAGTAGTTAACACCTGAATGTTCTGCACGGCCAAGGCCTCTCTGTAACCTCAGGTGAGACATCTTGGAAGGGAAAAAAGAGCATCTTTAGTTCATCTCCATACCTGGAGGCTATTTGTAAGATTCTAGATCTCTGTATGAATCATTATCTCTGTGAAACAGGGTAAGCCACTTTCAGAGATGACAAGAGAACATCATGTCTTCCCCCCACTCAGGTAGTTTAATCTTTTTTATGTATCGAGTAGTGTTGTTGCTCTCATGTGATTCACTAATCTGATAAACATTTGTCTAGTCCATCCCTTATGCAGTTTCTAGATGCTAGGGAAGTGTGTGGCTAAAACATGTTTTCTGTCTTGTAGAGCTATTACTAAGAAAAACAAATCAGTATAAGTAAATACAACAAAATAAAATGAGTGTTTATGCAAGCACAGACAAAGTGTTATGGAAACTTAAAGGATTGCTTCCTGTGCCAAGGGTAGGACCAAGGCAGCTTTTTTATTTTTTAGCAAAGAAAGCTTTGAATTCACCAGATAGATTGGATCAGCCTTGCTTGTGAAGAGAATAACATATGTATAAGAGGATAAAAGAGAAAACATCAGGGAGTATTGTACCTCTTTGAAGTAAAGTTTGGAAGTAGGGCTGAAACATCGTTGTGATTATTTCTTTGCCAAGGTGGGATTTAGATTGTTTTTCACTTTAGCTGCTGGAATGAGATAATTTAATTGTTAGGACAACAGCATCAGATTTTTGTATTAGAACACTTTGGCAGTAATGGGAAAGCACTTTGTTTTTTTCATTTTGGTTTTAGGAAACAAGGACTCCTATGTATCCCAGACTAGCCTCAAACTCGGATCCTCTTGCCTCCACCTCCCAAATGCTGGAATTACAGGTGTGCACCACCATACCCAGTTCCATAGTGCAGAATAATTTGAAAAGAGTAAAAATAGAGATCAGTTTGGGCAAGAGTTAAGCATCTAAAATAGAGGATTAATCAAGACTTGTCATGTAGAGGTACAAGATCCCAACAATGAATGTAACTGTACTGTATCCCTAAAATGTACCAATAAACTCAATTAAAGCTGAAAAAAAAATGTAGAGGATTAAGTGAGGAGGGAGAGACAAGGAATAGTCCATGGTTAATTTCTAGCTCTGTTCAGTAATATAAAGCTACAGAAGCTGAGAGGATGGTAATCACAGCCTCTGTGTGGTTTCGCTGAGCAAGAATGATTTTATAGGCTTCTAAATGCAATTGAATATCAAAATAGATTTTAGATAATATTTTATTCTTTAAAAAGAGAGTATTAATGCTAGAGATTTAGCTCAGAGGTGCCACTGCCTGCCTCACAAGTGCAAGGTCCTGAGTTTGATCTCCAGTATCAAAAAAGAATATTAAAGATAGGACATAGAAGTATTTAGCAAGGTTGGGATTATGTGGACAGGGCATTTTAATTTACAATGAAAGAGAATGAGGAGAATTATCTTCTGTGTTTCTTAAACAGTTGCACCCAAAGTTTGAATTAAATACTTTTCCTCATTACTAAGAAGGATGTGTTTGGCTCAGTGCAGGAATGCGTCTGTAGTTTTAGTAACCCGAGGGGAGCAGCAGTGTGCGTACGTGATGAAGTGGCTTTGAATGTGCAGATCCTGCTGAGGAGCTAAAGTATGCAAGAGCAATAGGCCCTCTCTGCTGACTTAAACTTCAAGTTCTGCTTACTTTTTACTATGCATATTGAAATACTACTTTAACTAAAACAATATTTAGGAATATAAACTAGTTTTTTTTTTTTTTTAAAGCAAAAATCATGAAGGATTTATTAAATTTAATTTTGGTACTTTTGTTTTTTCCTTCCGTAGAACGTATAATGAAGAAAACAGAACAGTCTGAATCACATGTAGAGTCTGAAATTAAGAAGAAAGTACAACAGAAACGGCAGTGTACATACCAGCCTACTTCTCTGTCTCCTGCTTCAAAAAAATTTTTAACCCATTTAGAGGTGAGTAGAAAAATTATTCTTTGTTACTAATCGAGTGGAATTTTTATTAATACTAGTTTTAATGCGTATTGAATTCCAGATGATCTTTTATAGTCCCAGAGAAAACCTGGAAAGTTATTTAAGCAAACTTTTCTACTTTCAGTAGACTTTTGGGGATCAAACTCCTGCCATCTAACTCATGCTAGAATCACTTCTAGTCAAATACACCATTTTTTCTTATCTGTCCAGAACATGGAATTTTTTCTGGGGGGGAAAACAATTTATAATTGCATCCCTGTAACATTATAGTAATTTCTCCACCAAAATTTTTTTGAAATTATTTTAAATTTACAGTTTTGGCGGGAGTAATGAGTAATAGAAAGAGTATCCACATATTCTTTTCTCAAATTCCCATTTTACCCGTTTGCTTTATTCTCTTCTTGTATTTTCCTCCCCTTTTCTCCTTCAAACACATATACCTAGAGGCATCATTTAAGTGTCATTTGTAGGCATGGTGCCCCTCTAACAGTTAACCCATTTAACACTTGGTGTGACTTTAAAAGGCAACTTGTGATTCTGTATAAACAAAGTGCAGTTCTCAGTTCTCAGCATTGAAAAATAACCATCTGTTCAACAGACACCGTTCAGACTTCCCCCAAATAGTGTCGTGTATGGGTATTGGATCCAATTCAGAATCCCGTTTCAGTTATTTGCCATGAATCTTTAGACTCTTTTTGGCAGTGATTGCTGACCTACACTTGACTCAGGCTGTACTGGCCTCTTCTGCTGCTCAGTCCAGGTGAAGGAGAACAAGGAAGGAGGAAGTATCATCACAGCAGCATTTCTCCAGTGGGCACACCAGCTGAAAACCTCATTATTTTTAATGCCTAAAGCCTTTTTTTTTTTTTTTTTTTTTGTACAGGGGATTGAACTTGGGACCTTGCACTTGCAAAGCAGGTGGTAGAACCACTGAGCTAAATCCCTGACCCCTCCTTTTTTATTCTTTATTTCCATGTCAATTGTTCTTATTTTTTTTCTTAGTGGAAATTAAGTATCATAGCTATTCCCTAAGTACCTTTGTTAACAAGGTTAGCGGTTTTTCCTCCCATTTTTTAGAGTGTGAATCTCCTCACTATGTGCTTCTTGTAAGAAAATAAGATTTTTTAATTTAATGCAATTAAATATGTTGATATGTAGTAAAAATGACATTGTCTAAATGCTGTCTCTTCAAAGATAGTCTCCAGAGTTGGGGATTTAGCACAGTGGTTCCACCACCTGCCTTGCAAATGCAAGGTCCCGTGTTCGATCCCCAGTACCAAAAAAAAAAAAGGACAGGCTCTTTTTTATTCAATAGAGTTGTTGTGTGGAGAGCTGTAGATAGTTTGTGATGTGTTTAATTTATAAATCCCTCCCAGCCCCACCCAGTGCTAAGGATCGAACCTTGAGCCTGCTAGGCAAGCACTGTACCATTGAGCTACACCCACGTTTGCAATTTGAGACTGTTTGGTTAGTAATTTTTCCACAGATCAAAAGAGAGGAAATGGGGTTTTAGTCTATTTTTGTTTTCAAAGGAAATTATACTTCAAATAAAGTTTTTATAAAAATTTACTTGTTTCATATATATTTTACTAAAACTGAGCAGTATTAAGATTTTAGTTTTTAGATCACTAGGTTGATAAAATGCTTAGTTTTTATTATGAAAATTTTAATACTGTATTCAGTTCAGCTGATCTGCATTTTGTTCCTAATTGCTGCAAATAATTCCAAGGTACGTGTTTCTTATGCTAATAACTCAGGATATATTTCCTTCTATATCTTAATATTAAGAATTTTAATCAGGGATGTGCTTTTTCTGTTTTAATATCAATTTTCTAAAAGGAAATACTGTTTTTCCATGAAGTTCTTTTCCTTTAAGTGTTTCCTGTTTGCCTTTATTCTGGGGTAGTGTTAGAGCCCAGGGTCACCTGGCTGTAGGGCCTCAAGTGCCCCGCATCCTCAGACTCTTATGGACGGAATTTGCTTACCTATGCCTGACTGCTGAAATTGGTGATCTTGACATTCTTACCAGCATCCTGACATTGAATTCCAAGTAACATAACTTATTTAGAGCCTTCTTTTAGCCAAGGAAATGAGACAAGAACTGAGTTTTGAGACATTTAAGGGAGTGTCTTGACTTTGAAGTAAAACCAAAATCTTTTCTTTCTTTTGTTCTTTTTGGAATTTAAGGTTTCAGAACAACGTGAATGTTGCCCAAAATGTGGAAAAGAAAAAGAAAATCAAACTAAATGCCAAAGTTGTGGTATTATTTTTCGTAATGATTTGCAAAGAAATTGCAGACACGCTGTAACTTTGAATGAATCTACTGGACCATTATTAAGAACATCAATTCATCAAAATACTGGAGGACAAAAGTCACAAAACACAGGATTAACAACCAAGAAGTTTTATGGGAACAGTGTGGAAAAGGTTCCAATTGATATAATTGTGAGTCATGATGACAGTAGACATAATTATTTACAGACTAATGGAAAAGTAATTTTACCAGGGGCAAAAATGCCCAAAATTACAAACTTGAAAGAGAGAAAAACAAGCCTATCAGACCTAAATGATCCAAGTAAGTGCTTTTGCTTTTTTTTGTTGTTTTCTTCTGAGGCTTAAATTCCAGGTCTCGAATGTTCTGCCACCTCAGATTCCTGAATACCTGAGAATATAGGTGTATGCTAGCTGCCACACCTAAGTTAGTTTTGCTCTTTTTAATAATACTTATATCAACCCAATAAACAGTTGGAGACTGAATAAACTATTGAGTGTGTGGCTATAAAAGGGCGAGGAGGGGGCGGTGTGATAAAGTCCTATGTAGAATGGTTTCCAGGATTTTAATTGAGTAAAGCAGGATGCACATAAGACTATATTACACAGGTTGAAAGAATGAAGTTTTTATTTTTCTTAGACAGTACTTTGCTATGTAGTCCAGGCTGGCCTTGAACTCACCATGTAGCCCAAGATGTATTGATAAAAGCAAATTAATAACTATATCATTGTCTTGTCACCAAACAGGGTTTGGGGTGGTTCCCCAGGAGTAGATGGAGACCTCAACATTGCCCAGGAGTACATTTGTTCACTCTTGTTATATAAAGCATTTTAAGGCCCTTCAGTGTGGGTGCAGGCAGAGTTAGAAAGTTAAAAGAAGTCCAGCTTGAGCAGGACACTCTGATGATGAGGTTCAGACAGACTGTGCTCATCAAAGAACAAGGTGAATTTGCTGGCATAGGCTCAAGTCCTATTGGCCACTGTCTTTTCTCTGGTTGTGTGGCTCCAGAGGAATACTTATGGCGTGAAGAGCAGTTCGATTGCCATAGGATGATTCTTGCTTGGGAAGGAGGGGGGATTTCTGTCATGGGATAATTGCTCCCATTTGGGGAGGTGACCTCATGGGGTGAACTGTAAAGGTCTGGTTTTCCTAGAACCCAAGGTAATTGTAGGTCTAGGAACAATGACTGGAGACATCTTAGTGGTCACTCCTGTGGATCTAGAACCGGACATTGTAAAAATCTGGCAATTGCATGTCCCTGAAAATTACTTTAGTTATTCTTTTTGTGGTGTCTTGAGTTTTGAAGGGGGATAAGATAGGTTAGATAAATCTGGGGCTAGTGAATCTTCCAATATAAACACTCCTTAAGTAACCACCATGCCTATGTGTGGAGTTGAGCAGGAATCTAACCTAGAGTTTAAGGTAGTAAAAGAGACCCAAAAATTGAAGGCAGAGATGCCAAGCTTTGTCCTACTCTTGGTTACTTATTGCTGCTCATCTGTGTGTCCAGCCTCTAGGTCCCTGTTAATTCACCCTGTCTAAGGAAATTAAGGTATTGACTGCTCTGTCTTTATAAATTTAAACTAACACATACGTGAGAAGGAGACAGACTGAGTCCCAAGCCTAGGGAGTAAGGATATAGGTAACCTTAGGTAAATTTGATCGTATGTAAAGACTGCAGTTTCCTTGGCTCTTTTCAATCTTTTTTTCTTCTATCCTACTCAAGTCTCAGTGTTAAAGAAATAGGGCCAGCTCTCCACAAAGAATGTGATAATGTACCACAAACATACTAATAGAAATGCAAAAGTAAAATTAAAGAAATAAAAAGTCATTAAGCTGAAGTTTCATTTAGAGATAATAGTGTAAATTTATTATGTATTTTATCTTAAACATAAAATACATATTCCCTAGCTTTACCCAAAAAAAAAATGCATACTTAGAGAATACTCTAAAGGGAAAAGAAAATAAATTAACAACTCATATTTGGTGTGTTGTATTTTTGTATTAATGTATTTTAAAATACCATTTTGTATAAAAATAACTAGAGCTGCTCAAAGAAATATAGTAGCTTGCTACATATCTGGCATGTAACACACTTGAAGGTAATCTTAGATCTAGCCATAATTCAGAAGCAGGGAAACAGTCAAAAAGTACTATAAACTTGTCAAAAGGACACAGGAACTAAAATGAAATATTCCCATTTCACCAGTAATGGGAACACTTTAGTCACAAAAACAGTCATAATTGCTAGTCATTGAAATAATCAAATATATTCAAGTCAGTAGTTAACCATAATACTCCCTTACTCCCTCAAGAAAGGGGAAAAATAGAGGAGAAAGCTCTTCTCTAGTTAATATATGGAAGTTGCTTGAGGTTTGAAAGCAGTCTTCTGATAACGGGTAAATAATGGGGGAAATTATTAATTTTTTTCAATACATCAAAATATGCCAAGTTCTGTTTTAACTCAACTGTATGAAGCCTCAGACTGTGCCAGTGTGTTACTTTTTTTTTTTTTTCAGTAAAGAAAATAATTAACTGTATGATGGCTGTCCAATCAAGGTACTTTGTTGTGATGGAGCCAGGCTCAGTGGTGTATACCTGTAGTCTCTGCATTGGGAGGCTGGGACAGAGGAATTGAAACTTTGAGTCTTACTGTACAATTTAGTGAGACTCTGTCTCAAAAGTTTTTAAAGTGAATAAGTAAATAGGACTGAGGATATAGCTGAGTGGTAGAGTGTACCTGAGTTTGATCCCCACTATTGCAAAGCATTGGATGGATGGGTGGATGAATGGATGGCGTTGGCTAGTAGAGTACCCCTAGATTTCATCCCACTACTGACTGCCAAGAAAGAAAGATACTTCAGTGATAGTTTGTAATACATGTTGGAATAGTGTTGTTAATATCATTTGAATCTTTCCTAATGTTGAGGTTGTTCATTAAAATAATACATGGAAAGAGCTCTCACTTATTAGTCAGTTACTGTATAATATCATTGAGCCAAATTGAAAATCCTGGGAGATTACCAAAATGAGGAGAATTAGAAATTAGTAAGTCAAAAGGGCTAGGGTTTTAGCTCAGTGGTACTACACTTGCCTTGCAAGCACAAGGTCCTAAATTTAATCCCCAGTACCAGGAAAAAGAAATTGGTAAGTTGAGGTTTATAAAGGAAAAAAAATTAACTGCTATGTCTTTAATCATACAGATTAAAAAATTAATATATCATCAACCATGTAGATGAATAATATAAGGAAATAAATTCATGTGATTCTGAGCATAATAGCAGCCATGATTTAATATCAGAATGCATAAATTTGCTCTACTTCCGTGCTAAAAAAAAGCATCAGGCGTGGTGGTACGTGCCTGTAATCCTAGCACTTTAGAAAGCTGAGACAGGAGGATCTCAAGTTTGAGCCCAGCCTGGGAAACTTAGAGATTTAGTGAGACCCTTATCAAAAGAAAATATTTTAAAAGGTCTGGGGATATAGCTTTTTGCAAGGCCCGTGGGCTCAAAGACTATTACCAGAAAAAGGGGGGGCTATTTTCCATTAAATTATGTGGAAAAATGTAGTTCGTTATACAAAATGCTGTATTAAGGACAGGCGTGGTGGTGCACACCTGTGATCCCAGCGCTCTGGAGCCTGAGGCAGGAGGATCACTGTGAATTTGAGATCAGCCTGCACTACATAGTGAGTGCCAGGTCAGTCTCAACTACACAGTGAAGCCCTGTCTCAAAGAAAAAAGAAAAGAAAAGCTATATTAATTATAAAAGATGTCATTTAACTGTACATTTTTGTGCCTTGCTTTGGTATAATGATTTGTTATATACTTCACTTTTAATCTTCACAGTTATGTAAACTAGATTCCATTATACTTCCATTTTAAAATGAGGCTTAAGGAAACTAATTCCACAATATTACATACATATGGACTGTTTGGTTTTTAAAAAGAGGATTTTCAGCTTCTAGAATTAACTTCTTACTATGCTTAACTATTCTTAAATTTGTATTTATCTTTAGTTCTGAAACAGGATCTTGCTAAGTTGTCTGGGTGGAACTAATATTTAAGGATCCTCTTTCCTCAGTCTCCCTGAGGGCTGGGATTACAGGTGTGTGCCACTACTTGTGGCTGGAACAGGCATCTTTGATTCAATAATTTTGAAGCAGTGCCCAAAATGAAGTGAGCAGGAAAAAAGTGCTGCTGGATTGTATATATGAATGAACATTTAAAAAACAAGCACAAAGACCCCCCTGTATTAGTTGCTTTTAGGTTGCTATTACAGAAAAACATTGATTGTGTGACATAAAAGAAATTTGTTTTCTTTATGATAGCAGAGAGACCTTTGGTGTCTTTTCCATTCCTTAGAAGGACACTATCTGAGCTAGGTGTGGTGTAATATGCCAGTAATACCATCACTCTTAACTCTAGGAGGCTGAGGCAGAAGGATTGCATGTTCAAGCCCGGCCTGGGCAATTTAGAGACTTAAGACCATGTCTCAAAGTGTTTTTAAGAAGGAAGGGGGCTTCACACTATTTATGTAGCTCTTGTGAAGGCTCTGGGTTCAATCCTCAATACCACACACACACACAAAGGTACCAGTTCTGTTGGATTAAGGCCCCACCCTTATAAACTCAGGTTGGCCTTTTTTACTTTCTGAAAGGCCTATCTCCAAATATAGTCACATTGTAGGTCGGGGCTTCAAAATACAGATTATGTGGAAACACAATTTATACTCATAGCATAGCCTGAGATAAGATTGTATGTCGTTGTTGTTTTTTTTCCCACAAAGAATAAAAGCAGCTATGAGAACATTTGTTGAATTATATAACATCTTTGCGCATTATTCCTATTTGCTTTGTAATCATGGCAACACTAATCAAACCGTTACTTAAGTTAATACAAAACTGATACCATCTTCTGACAGCATTGTGGTTTGTTTTGTGGCAGTGGGATTTTGAACCTAGGGCTTTGCACATGCTAGGTGAGCATTCTGACACTGAGCTGCATCTTAGCCCCTTTTAAAATTTTATTTTGAGATGTTCTCATTAAACTGACAGATTGGCTCACGTGTGAGATCCTCTTGCCTCAGCCTCTAAGTTCCTGGGATTATAGAGCTGCATCACCACACCTGGCTGAGGTTTTAAGAACTCTGAAGTAGACTTACTGATAAATGTTTAATTTTGTAAATTGTTAGTGGCAATGGGCTATAGAAAATAATTCACATTCATGTATTTTTTAAAAGATGCCAAGTTGTATCCTTTCTTCTAATGTAAGTTTTCATCAGGTAAAGGATTTTTATTTTCATTTTTATTAATTTTATCTGGAGGAGATTCAAAGTAAATCTGGGGTATTTCCCACTGATAATTTATTTACATTTTAACTGATAGAAATGAATTATAAAATTACATTGCAAGTAAAATTTTAATGTAAATTTTGAATTTTCTTATACTCTCAGTCATTTTGTCCAGTGATGATGATGATGACAATGACAGTAGTACCAGAAGAGACAACCTATCTCCTCAGCCTGCCGACTCAGCATGTTCTTCTCCAGCACCATCCACTGGAAAAGTAGAAGCAGCACTGAATGAAAATCACTGCAGAGCTGAGCGTGAGCCAAAAAGCATTCCAGCAGAGTCAGAGCTAAACTCTGTCGTATTGCCGAGGAAAGCAAGAATGAAGGACCAGGTAGTCCTCACATTTGTGGACATTCGTTCAAATGAAAGTCTCCCCTTTTGGACAAAAATCTGTTTTGTTGTTGTTTGGCAACAGTTTGAGATTATTCATTAATTACCACTTAGAGGATTTATTCTGGAAAACTATAATCAAAAATACTGGTTAAACTAAAGGATTGTGAAAATTCAACAAGAAAAAAACAGTATTAACCTTACATCATAATGCCAGTACATGTTGAATATCCAAAATGTTTGGACCAGAAGTGTTTTAGATTTCTTTTCTCCCCTTTGGATTTTGGAATATTTACATAATAGATATCTTGGGGAAGGGACTCAAATCTAAAGAGGAAATTCATATATGTTTCATAAGAAAATTTTGCACATATCCTCAAGGGTAACTGCACACAATATTTTTAGTGCAATCTCTGACTTGTGGCATAATATTGGTGCTCAAAAATAAAAAGATTTTGCAGCATTTTAGATTTCCTGTTAGGGATTTCAATCTATGTATAAAGGCAGGGAGAACTTACTTTAACTTGTATGTATTTTACTCTTTTAATTTTTAAAATTTTTATATTTTACTATAAAATTTTCAAAATATTTACATAGGAAAAGGTAACATGAATGATATAAGTGTATGAACAGAAGATCTAGACATGTTTGTAATGTAGATGACATACAAATACTTTAATATCTAGTTACAGGGAAAAGCTACAAAGGATAGGAATAGACAACTGTGGATATTCAAATACTAAACAACCACACGAAAAGTACAAATTACTTTGTGGGAGTCTGAGGCAAGAGGCTAGTTTGAGCCCAGCCTTGACAGCCTGGAGACTTAATGAAAGCCTGTCTCAAAAAGGGAGAGTGGGTGGTACAGAGACCCCAGATTCAATCCCCAGTACTCCTGCCCCCAATTATTTTTAAGTAGGGAAGAACAATTAAAGAAAATGAAACATAGCTATATAATAAACAGATTTGCTTAATGTAAAATAATATGTGCTGCTGGCAGCAGTTCAAGGGAAAGGGTATTTTCCTCATTTGCTGATGGAAAAGTTATACCCTTTGGAGAAAAGCAATATAAAAACATTGCTTTAAATTTTTTTAACTGTATATTGTTTGACTGAATAACAAATTCCTTAGAATTCTCTAGACTCTCAAAGGAATTCATCCCTGTTCTCCACTATGTAAGGCTGTATGTATTGACATGACTATGTATTAACAAACAACTGCAGGAAGAATCATTGCCCACTAATGTGGATGTAGCTGAATACATCATGGTATAGTTTCATGATGCGGCCATTAAAAATAATAGCTAGAGATTTGTCAGTGACTTTAGGGTTTCTACAGAATATTGAGTAAGAATAGCAAGATACAGAAATGTGTGCATATTATTGTTTTTGTAAGAACTTTAATGAATGAAACATGTGTCTTAAAAAAAGATAGGAATTCTCCTAGGAATATAGATGAAAATGTGAAACAGAAGACAGTGTACCAAAGTAGCATAAACAAGATTTTCATAGGTAAATGTGAATGGAGGCGGCATAGTAAACTGTGCAACAAAATGTTAGTGGACATATCCAATTTTAATAATTTAGGAGCAAACCATGCAATAGTAAAGGAAATGAATAAAGTACAACGGAGCTAGCAATTAAAGTAGTGAATATGAAATTTAAATATTGTCCAGATTGCCAACAGTTTTTGAAGTATGACTATGACTCATCTTAGTATTTGGATAAATGGTATGTTAGGTTTATAAATTGTTGTGACTTTGTTTTTGGAACCAGAGATCGAACTCAGGACCTTGTGCTTGCCAGAAAGGTGCAGCACTCCTGAGCTATATGCTCAGCCCTAAATTGGTGTAACTTTGCTGGAGAGCAGTTGGGCAGTAATCCTAGCTACATACTAACATTTGGCTATAGAAATGTTCATTGGAGATTGCTTATAATGGGGAAATATTGGAAAGGTCTGATACAGATGTCCATTGTAGAAGCATTCAGTTTGATGGACATGTGATCATACTGTCATTTTGAACACTTTTCAGGCTCTCAGTTATCACACTGAGGCACAAAAGGCATGTCCAGTGCTCTTGTCAGTCACACTCTGTGGGGACCACTCATATTGTAGGCCCAAGCCTTCTACTATAGAAGATCTACTCTGCTGGAGCACTCTTTTGAGGTATTGGGGATTGAATTTAAGACCTTTGCCCTGAGCTACATCCTTGGCCTTTTTAAATTTTTTGCTTTGTTTTGTTTTGTTTGTTTTTTGTTTTTTGAGAGAGAGTCTCACTGTATAGTTGAGACTGACCTAGAGCTCACTATGTAGCCTAGGGTGGTCTCGAACTCACAGCGATCCTCCTGCCTCAGCCTTCCAAGTGTTGGGAATACAGGCATGTGCCACCACGCCCGGCTTCTTTTTTAAATTTTTGAGACATGATCTTGTGAAGTCCCAAAGCTGCCCAGGCTGGGCTCAAACTTGTGATCCCTCCTGTCTCATCTTTCCAGAGTGCCGGGATTACAGCCATGCATCACCATACCTGGCTCAGCTGGTGCACTTGCAAATTAATTTGTTTCATTAGTAAGTCAAATAGCTCTCATGGGGAGGGGTGTACTAAACCAAAAACAAGCAAAACCCAACAATTTAAAAATCCCTTTAATAGGTTTCTATTAATAATTTGGGGAAAATGTTCATTGTAACCTAAGTAAGCCTGAAAAAGGTAGTTTACAAAATCAGAGCTATATAATCACATTTGCTTTTATTCTTTTAATTCTTAGACTGATGTATAAAACATAAAACATATACATAATTATGGAGTACTGTGTGATCTTTCGATACACATGTACATAGTATAATATTTAAGTCAGGATAAACATACTCAGGGTTGGGGATTTAGCTCAGTAGTGCCACTGCCTGCCTTGCAAGCTCAAAGCCCTGAGTTTGATCCCTGGTACCAAAAAACAACAAAAAAAAGTAGGTAGGATAAACTTACCCATCTCCCCAAACATTTAACATTGCTTTATGGGAAAAACTTCCTAAATATTTTCTTCTATTTGAAGTGTACTATACATTATCATCATCAGTAGTCACCTGCTATGGAGTAGCAAAACCAGAAGTTTTCTTAGTACTACCCCTTGACCCATCCTTCCCTGTGCCACACACTCTTCAGTCCCTGATAACCACCCTTTCATTTTCAACTTTTGTAACATCAGTACCTTTTTAGGCTCCACATATGAGTGAGTTTATCTGGTACTTGTCTTTCAGCACCTGGCTTCTATAACATGATGATCTCCAGTTCCATTTTTTCATAAAAGACAAGATCTTATTCTTTTATAGCTGAATAATATTTCGTTATGTGCATGCTGCATTTTCTTTATCCATTTATCAATTGATAGACAAGTTGTTTCCTTTTTTCGTTCAGCAGACTAAATTCATTTCCTTTGGATATATTTATTTTACTTTGAGGATTGTTCAGTCATTTATTTAGTAGTTCTATTTTTAATTTTATGAGAAACCTCCATACTGTTTCCATAATTGCTGTACAACTCTGTGATTTATATTTCCATCAGCAGAGTACTTTAGTTGCTTTTTCTCCATATCCTTGCCCTCACTTGTTATCCTGAAGTCTTTTTGATAGTAGCCATTTTTATTGGAGTGAGATGGTATCTCATTGTAGTTTTGATTCTGCTAGTGATGATGAACAACTTTTCATATACCCATTGGCCATTTGTGTGTCTTTTTTTGAGAAATGCATTATTGAGGGGTTTTTTGCTGTTGTATGGCTACATTTTGTATTTTGGATATGAGTTGTTTTTCAGTTGTGTACATTACAAGTATTCTTCTTTTGTTATATTGTCTTTTTGTTGTTAATGGTTTTTTGCCTAAATTTTCTTTGCTATGTGAAAGCTTTTTGGTTTGATGTAATGCTTTATCTTTTTTTTTTTTTTTTTTTTTTTTTTTTTTTTTTTGCTTGTTTTCTATATTTTGGGATCTATATTTTTAAAATCCTTGCCCATTTCAACATTCTGAAGTATTTTCCCCATGTTTCTTTAGGTTTGGGATTAGCGGTGTTCCATTGGTAAAAATCTATGCAGATATTCCATTAAAAAATTCCAACCAGGCGTGGTGGCACACACCTGTCATCCTAGCACTTGGAGTCTGAGGCAGGAGGATCGCTGTGAGTTTGAGACCAGCCTGGGCTATATAGTGAGTTCCAGGTCAGTCTCAACTACATAGTGAGACCCTGTCTCAAAGAAAAAGATCAAAAAGAATTAAAAAGGAAAAAAAAAAATCCAAAATCTGAAATACTTCTAATTCCAAGCATTTTGGATAAAGTATCTCAACCTGTAATGTACTCGTTTTTCATTAAAGTTATAGATCCAGAAAAATTTGTATTATGATTAATTTGCATTTGGATATAACTATAAAATCATAATTTAACAAATCAAGTAAAAATATGTAAAGCTAAAATATGTAGTTAAAATATATAAAGCATCCTTTTGTATTGAAGTTAACCATTTTTAAAATTGCTTGTTTTGTAAAGTTTGATGATTTAAATACCACCACTGTCACTATTACTGCGTTTATCCAGCATTTTACTGTGCATAAAGCCCTCTGTAAAGTCCATTATATGTAATGGCTAATGTGAATAATCTTTATCCTTCATATTTTTCATTTTAGGAAAGTGAAGCTTAAGTTTTTACTGAATTTTACCAGATCAGATCATTAACAGGTGGTTTGGCTGTAGTTTGAAACCCAGGGTTCTGATTTCTGGAATACTATACCTAGCTGCTATGCTATTTCATTTCACATAACTGAAATATTACTAAATAAAGTAGAAAGAATTGACTTTTATTTTAAAGCCACAAATTTCTATTTCCTCTAACATTCTTGAAGAAAAATAAATTCTATGTTGTAATAATTTACGTTTCTCATGTGGGTTCTGGTTTGTGTAGGTATTGTGTTGTGTACTAAGTTTGCAACCTTGTTATGGTAACTTATTAAGTGAAAATTTTCTTTTTCAGTTTGGCAATCCTATTATCACCACACCTCTAAAACGTCGTAAAGTCAGTTCTCAAGAAACTTTAATTGATCCTGTACCTTTAAGCTGCCAAAGTCCCTTTGAAAGTGTCATTTTAAGCTGTCGAAGTATACGAGTAGGAACACTGTTTCGACTATTAATAGAGCCTATAATTGTAAGTATATTCCTAAGTTATTCATTATGCTAATCACAAGATTCAGAATTCCACTGTCAAGTCTAATTTGTAATATTTAAACTTTGTTACGTTAATCAAATACAAATTGATTTCAAAATTTGAAATTGCTTTAAGAGTATGTATTTAAGTTTCATTAAAAATTAGATTAAATTGAAGTAGGTGAAAATTCACTACAAAAAGACATGAATAGCTCTTAATAAGTTAGGAAACCTTTCAGTATATTTTATCCTCGTGTCAGCTTAGTTTTTGAAAAAATATATTGAAGAACAGTAGTAAAGAAAGACTCTAAAAGCTTTTTATCATAGCTTTAAGACTTCTAGAAATAGGTTATAGGACTACAGTGGACCTCCATAGGCATTATGCTTTTAGACTAATTCAATGTCCACAGCTCCTAAAGGATTTTCTATAATCCTTTATCTTTCCTGTCATCTTTTCCTTGTTAATTTTACTGCCATTAATCCCATGTAAGTGTTTAGCTTCTATTTGAAATTGTAATACAATGTCCTTAACCAGTGTTCTTTGACATCAGTTTTCTTATTTTTAATGTGTTCCAAACATTGTTGGTAGGTTTATCCTCCTAAAACTATACTTATTCTATAATGCCTTAATTTGGTGTCCTTTCCTGTAATTTTACATCTCCTAATACTATAAAGAATACTTTATCCATAGAGTAGCATCCTCAAGAGAGCATACTGTAAGAAGCCGGGGAGTTAGCTCAGTGGTTCTGCTGCTGCCTGCCTCACAAGAGCAAGGACCCAAGTTTAATCCCCACTCCAAAAAAAAAAAAAAGAGCATACTGTATCACAGCATGAAAGTTACAATGTAGTTTCATTATCTTTATATAATTATAATAAGTAATAATTTATTTCCTGGTAAAGTGTCTTGGTTCTAAGGATACACTGTAACTAAAAGAAAAATTTTACTGTTGAGTTTATAGGAGCCAATGAAATACAAACATAATTTCTTATCAGAACAAAGCTTTGTGGGAACTCAACATTTTTTATTTCCACCAAAATACTCCATTTTATCACAATTTAAAAACTAGAAAATTTCAAAAGCATGGCAGAGATTTCAAGCAAGTGAAATATACACTATCATTTGTTGCCCAGTAATATTGTAACATTGTTTTTCGGTGATTGGTAAAATTCGTATTTTGTTACAAATTTTCGTACTGCAAATTATGTTTGAGTTTTGCCATTTTATAAAAATGTCATTCTGTGTCACTTTGTACCTCAAAAATTTCGTGAACTACTATGTAGATTTTTTTACTTTCATATCAATATTATTAAAATTCTTTATGATAAAATTTGTTGGTTGATGTATACCTTTAATGAGAGTAGCTATAGATAGCTTTCAGTCTCAAAGCAATTGAGAACTACATTAGTAATTGAATAAATTTTTAACCTTTAAAATAAATTTTAAAAGTTATAGGTTAAGGTATATCTGCTACAGGGAGGTACAACTTTAATACAAAAAAGTAATATGCATAATATAAAATGTACTGATAGTTTTTAAAATTAAAATGCTAAGCAAAATATTTCAGTGAAAAAATGCAATGTGGACATTTGCTATATGGTATTAATTTTTGTGTCATAGGACTTTTGCAAAAGACATCTTCCATTGAAGTATACTGAAACTATCATTTCTGTAGATGGTATATAATTAAGAAAACAAATATTTTATTCCTGAATATAACTTAAATTTAATCCATTCAGCGGTAGAAATGCCTAGTTTATTTAAAAGTAAATATTTAAATAAACTTATTGAAAAGTAAAAGGGTTACATTATTAGGAAGATGAAATTCTTCCCTTTTATTTACTTTCTGAGATAGGGTCTCACTGTGTAGTCCAGGCTGGCCTAGAGTACACTGTGTAGTCCAAGCTGACTTTGAACTCAGGAATCCTCCTGCTTCAGATTCCTGAATGCTGGGATTACAGGTGGGCCATTTGACACATTAGTGTTTGTTTATTTATTTATTCCAGTACTAGAAATTGAACTCAGGACCTTCGCTTTCCTGGCAATTGCAGCGTCACTGAGCTACATCCCTGGCCCAATGACACTTCCTAATTTTTTTAAATGAAAAACCAAAATCTAAAATCTAATCTTTCAGTCAGTTGAATTTTAAAAATGTTTTGGGATATAGTCCAATGTCTACTTGTAATATTATTAATATACCCAAATTTTGAATTTTTGAATTTTCAGAAACTTTTTTCATTTCTTTCTCTTTTTAAAAAAATTGTGGTAGAACTGCGGATTGAAACCAGGGCCTTCACACTGAGCCACATCACTAGTGTTCTTTTTTTATTTTTTATTTTATGACAGGTTTTCTTGTAGATTCTGAGGCTGGACTCAAGCTTGTAATCCTCCTGCCTCAGCCTCCCAGAGTGCTAAGATTATAGGTATACACCACTATGCCCAGATAAAACACTCGTTTAAATTCCCTATCTCATGCACCAGTTTTATTCAAATATTTTTGATCATCATGTAGTATATTTCATTTTTATTGCTACCCCACCACCATACCCGGGATTGAACTCGGGTCCTTGTGCTTATGAGGCAGGCACTGGATCCAGTGAGCTAAATCCCCGGCCCTTTGTTGCTACTTTTTGAGTCACCTAGCATTTTTCTCAAGCATACAACTTTAGTTTCTCTGTATGCTGAACTTATATAGGCTGGCTTCACCTTAATTCTTTTTACATCCCTTCGATTAACATGGTACATTCAGAGAAATCTTTAAAAGATATGTCTAGTAACATTCTTTGTAATTAGTCTAGTTATTACCAAATTTATATTTTCTTGTGTTTTACATTATGAAAATTTTCCAATTATTCAAAGAATTTTACATGACTATATGTTTCCAGTTAAGTTTTACCATTAGTGTCGTAGTATACAGGTTTAGCATCATTAACTGAAAAATCGATGTTCAAATGACACTCAGTTTTGAATTGGAGAGCATGGTCGTAAGTGCCTGTATTTCTAGCTGTTCACAGACTGAGACAAGAGAAACTATCACTGCATCCAGGAGTTCAGGACCAACCTGACCAAATAATGAGATCCCATTTTTTTAAAAAGTTACGTGGGGACTACAGGTGTAGTTCAGTTTCAGAGCTTGTGTGTTAGCATGTGCAAGGCCCTGGTTCAATGTCCAGCAGCACAAAAATAAAGTTTTGGAATTTGATACATCTAGAGTTTCATACTTTTACATTAGGGATGCTCAGTGAAGCCTAGGTAAATATTTCAAAATTCAGAAATCTCTAAAATCTGAAATACTTCTGGTCCCAAGCATTTCTGACAAGGAACAAAGTGCATGTTTTTCATATATCTTGTTTATTCCTCTGTGTCAATCAGTCTTATTTTTAAAATGCATTTCAAAGCACTTTCTTACTTTCTGTAAACATAAAAATGATTGTTCAGGTTGGATTAGTCTTAATGTTGTCTTCTTTACATTGAAATAATTAGCTAGATAATAACCATTTGTTACCAGTTATAACAGAATTTGGCAAAGATTTTCAGTGTAAATAATACCATTGGGATAAAGATTACTTGGGAACAGGATATTTGCTTTCAAGTATCTCTCTTCATGTTATTTAATTACAAGGGGAAAAATTATATCTTTACAGTGTAAGAACCTAGCAGTTACTACCTTGGTTAATTGATTAAGTCAGATGACATATGCCTTCTGACTTCATTCTTCTTTGGGGGAAGTTTCAGTATATCACCTATATTTGGCAGAAATGTATGGCCTGAATTTTTAAATTAGGAAACCGGATGTTGGATGTTTTGTTTTATTTTGTTTTGTTTTTGGTACCGGGGATCAAACTCAGGATCTTGTGCCGGTGAGGCTGGCGGTGAGACCACTAAGCTAAATGCCTGTTGATGGTATTTTGCTAAACTTAGCCTAGAATTCCTTAAAGGTCATATCATGCAGAACAGAGCGGGGCAGATTTCTACTGTAAAGCAGACAAGAGAAGTAGCTGTAATATAGCCTTGACAAAGCCATGTTTTGGGGAAGAGTTAAATATAAAAGCCAGTTTGGTGGAAATGTAAGCATGAACTGTACATTGAATGAAGTTAGTCTTGATTTCTTAAATTTATCATTAATGTGTGATTGTATAGGAGGTCTTTATTCTTCAGAGATGCATGCTAAGTATTTGGAAATTAAATATTACAGTGTGGGTTTCTTGCTTGGTGAAAGGGCAAGTGTATAAAGAGCAAGTGGTAAATGTGACAAAATACTAAGTTCATGACTGGGTAAGTACTACATCCAGGTATTTGTTGTAATATTATGTCAGCTTCTATAGAGTTAAGCTAGTAATGTAATAAAAGTTCTAAGTACTTTAAAAAAATTGAAGCTTCACTTTTGATAATTTTGCAGTATAAATACTTCATCTTAATTTTAAGCATGTAGTAAATGGCTGGGTTTTTTTTGCCTTCTGTAGCTGTAAGGCACATATGTCACTTAAACTGTGTAGCAAAATCTTCGTAAGTGTATGCTTAGTACTAATTCATCTTAATTTTTTAGTTTTCTGTAGATTTTATCAAGATACATCTGGATGGTAAGCTGTTTTTTATCTGTTTATTCCCTAAAGCTTTGTTTACATTGAATCACTTTACAGAAATAAAAGATTTAAAAATATTTACAGAATTGATTAAAATGATTAGTCATTGCATATATCTTCTTATATATCTTGGTATATATCTTATATACCTTGGTATGATTTCATTTTGTAACTTAACAAAGCCTAATTGGTTTTAGCCCCTTTTATATTTGAAAAAGTAGAATGTTCGTTTTCCTTCTTATTGGTTTTGTTTTGTTTTGTGACAGGGTCTTCCTGTGTACTCCAGGCTAGCCTTGAACTCAAGGCAGTCCTTCCCTTCTGCCACTTCCCCCACATACTTGAGTTACAGACATGGGCCACCATGCCTGACTAGAAGCTTCTGTAGTATGTTTATACATTATTTACAAAGCATAATACATAACATGATTAAACTTGTATTTCTTCTGTGATTCTACCTTCTAAGAATTGATTCCTTTTCCATTTTCATTTGTATTCCTCCAGAACCAGAAAGTGATCCTGTAGAGATTATTTTAAATACCTCTGATCTAACTAAATGTGAATGGTGTAATGTCCGAAAATTACCAGTAGTGTTTCTTCAGACGATACCAACAATTTATCAAAAGCTGAGTGTGCGACTGCAAATGAATAAGGATGATAAAGTATGGAATGACTGTAAAGGAATAAATAAATTAACAAGTAAGTTATGGGGCCGGGGATTTAGCTCAGTGGCACTGTGACTGCCTCGCAAGCACAAGTTCCATCCCTGGTACCCCCGAAAAAGAAAAAAAATACAAGTTGTGTACAACAAATTGTAGTAGATAACACAATCTGTTGAAGAAATAGTAAGAGTGTAAGTTCACCAGGAAATTGAAGACTCAGTCTAGAGCAGCATGACTTCATATGTATTTTGAAGCATATTTTGAACCAATATTTCTTAGGTCATTCACATCATTTATTAAAATATATTACAACTCCCTTGCAAAATAGAATTACTACTTCCATTTTTTAGATGAGAAAATGCCTATAGAAAGCAGAAAACTGAAGTTAAACTCCCAAGTTTACACACTAGAAAGTTTTCAAAACGGATTAAAACTCAGAAAAATCTGTACTCTTTTAACACTGAAATTTGAGTAAAGTCGATTTCTTTTAACTTACAGGAATGTTAAGTGTAAATCAACCATATAAATCTGGAATCATTAAAATGAGGCTGAAAAAGTTTCCAGGTTCATAGAGCCTTTATCTTTAACAATCTGTGGATGTTTCTCCAGTTTGTTTTCCTTAACCTATGAAATGGATCGTATGGCACAACTGCTTATGAAATAAATACATGTTGACAGTAATTTCTATTTCAGCTTAATGATGAGTGAATACTATGATTAAAACTGCAAAAGTTGACACATTAGTGAATAACAGCTTTGCAGTTAAATTCTCTAAAGATAGTAACAATTCACTTGGCAAATTTCCTATTTGAGTTTGACAGAAATGTTAATTGATATATTTAAAGTTATAAATAGATTGAGATGCTATTCAAAAACACATTACTCACATCCATGAGTAGATTTATTCTTAAACTGTTGAGTTTTTTTTTTTTTTTAATAGGTGACATTGTCAGGTAACATTGATTTTTTTTTTCTTTTATTCAAGTATTTATATCTATTATATGCTAACATTGCTTTGGACATTTACTCTAGAACTTCTATCTTGGAGATTAGTTGTTAATTGTACTTTTTGATTTATTTCTTTTCAGATTTGGAAGAACAATACATCATTTTAATTTTCCAAAATAGCCTTGATCCTCAGACAAATGTGATATTTGAGAACATCATTAATAACATTGGTATAAAGAATAATGTTCCCAATTTTTTTGCAAAAATTCTCTTTGAAGAAGCCAATAGCAGACTTGTTGCATGTACAAGAAGCTATGAAGAGAGCATCAAAGGAACTTGTATGCAAAAAGAAAACAAAGTTAAAACTGTAATTTTTTAATTTTTTAAAAAATAATTTTAAACTATGGATTGTTTAAAAAGGAAATGCTTTATTATATGCTCATTTTAATTCCATTTCATAATTTGTTTTTATACATGATGTGTAAACTGTCTTGTATCAAAACATTAATGATGGCCAAGCTCAGTGGCACACTAATCCTATTTCTTTGGAAGGATGAGGCAGGAATATTACAAGTTTAGGGCAACTTGGTAAGACCCTGTCACAAAATGGTTGGGGACGTAGCTCAGTGTTAGAGTGCTCCTGAGTTGAATCCCAGTTGTTTTTTTAAAAAAGGATAGGTCTTAGAATCAATTTTAGTTCCTCTTTACACTATTCTTTCGTCTTCTTTTTCCCTCATCCTTTTAATTTACACCCCATTCCCAACATACATATATGTGTGCTTCCACATTCAAATTTTTGCCCTGTGTCTTTGATTTACAGTAATGTTGTCATTTGTGGATGGTATTACACATTTATAGTTAACATGAGTACACAGTTGAAAACTTGGGGAACTAATGAATATGTATTGTTTGGATTTGAGTGTCAAAATGTGTATCCAGCTATACAGAATCTTCTCAAATAGTTAAGCGTGAAACAAAGGCCACAATACTATGATAGCCACTGAATTTTGCTGACGTAATTTATTGGGAATAAACCTCAGCATGGCTTACAATTTAGAAATGTGGCTGTTCAAGGCAAAATCTTTTTTTTTTTTTTTTGGTTTTTTTTTGGTTTTTTAAGACAGGGTCTCACTATAGTTCAGACTGCTCTGGAACTCACTGTGTAGCCCAGACTGGTCTTGAACTCACAGAAATCCTCCTTACTCAGCCTCCTGAGTGCTGGGATTACAGACGTGCACCACCATGCCCGGCCTTGCAAGGCACAATCTTGATAATTGAACTAAAGCATCACACACACAGCTCATGGGTTAGGGCAAAAGCAGAAGGACAAAGGAGACTTATTCTCCTCTTGCAGAGTTGTAGGTGGGAGATAATGCCAGAGGAAGAAGAGCAGGCAAAGCCTTGAGTCATCTGTGTTCGACTCATATTTTAATAGAAGGTGCTTTTCCCTGTAAAGACCCTGTGTTTAATTTACTACTGTTAGATTAATACTGAAACTCAGTAGACAGTGTCCCTGAACCTGATTAACTAAATTTAGGTAGGCCTTTACTGTTAGGACAAAGATGTCACTTCAGTTTTTTAAAGGTCCCTTGAATCTTACTAACAAAATTTAATTTAATAAGGAATAGTAGAACTCTCATGGCAGTAAGACACTGGAAAACCATTATTAACATTTTTGGGGGAGAATATCATCTGAAATCTACAGTAAGTGGCCCTTAATTCTGCCTTTTTGTCATTTTTTGTTAAATATCATGCATCCTTGGGCCATGGATTTTAGCTCAGTGGCACCTCGCCTGCCTCGCAAGTGCAAGGTCCTGAGTCCAATCCCCATTACTTCAAAACAAACAAACAAAAAAATCATGCCTCCTTTGCTAGATTCATATTTTCAGTTCGTTCTAATTGAAAAGCGTTTTATGCTTTGCCCTTGATCTTTTTATGTAACATTTTCCTGATCTTTTGTATTAATACTTTAATTTTCTTTACCAGATGTCATTTGACTCTAAAATACAACTTAGAAGCAAACGGGAATTCCAGTTTTTTGATGATGAGGAAGAATCTGGAGAAAGCCATACCATCTTCATTGGGCCTGTGGAAAAGTGAGAAAATTCTTTCACATTTGCAATGCTTTAAAGCTTTGTCTGTGTTTCCTTACATTTAGTTACATAGATATATAAAGCCTTGTTTATTTATTTATTTTTTAATTACAGATTGATAGTGTATCCACCACCTCCTTCTAAGGGGGGCATCTCTGTTACTAATGAAGACCTACACTGTCTAAGTGAAGGAGAATTTTTAAACGATGTTATTATAGACTTTTATTTGAAGTAAGTTAATTTTCTCACCTTCTAACAAATATTTAACAAAAATCTTTAGCATTCCAACATGTTTGTGTTTTCTAAAGTTAAATTATTTGGATTTTTAATTTAAACATTGCCACTTACTGTGTGACGTCTGATAAGTTATTTAATCTGTTCATACCTATTTCCACATTTTAAAAGTGAAAGTAGTATCTAAGAGTATGTATCTAAGTAGTATGTAAGAATTAAATGAGATAGTGCATATGTCAGGTATAGGCAAAATGCCCATCAAGTAAAAGTTTTCCTAAATAGTACCTGTGTTTGCATTTACTGGTTTGTGTTATAAAATGGGCATGCATATGAAACAGAACAGAATGTAGCATCGTTATATTCCCTGCTGTCTAATTTGTTTTAGTGTATTTCAGAAAACTGTTTAAAACTTGGTTGTGGACACCTGCTGAACTGATTTTTATAGCCTACTAGTGATTTTATCTCACTGTTTGAGGAAAGCAGATTAAATTTTAATCAGAGAAGTAGTAATTATAGTTGAATTTCCTTTAGGCTATTGTGATAGGCATGTGCATTTTGGATGTCTTAATGAGAGGTCATTTAAGGAAATTAAGGTGATTGAAAATCCCAATTAATAGTTTTCTTGGAGTGAGGAACAAAACGAGATATTTTATGAGTAAGAGTTGCAGGGCACATAGCATTAGCAGGACTCCAGAACTGGTTAAATGGATACCAGATAACTGAGTTTTCTAGTTCATATGACCTGCTAAAAAATGTTGGGATGAACTAAAGGAAGAGTGCAGAAGCAGAACAGACTTGGGTGGGGAAAGGATAAGCTCCCTTTTAGATATCTGTGTTAGAACAAATAAAATGGATTGTTCCAATATGCAATTGAATATATAGTTTGAGCAGCCATGTCCAACCTGTAATTTGCCCCAGCCCCCCTTTTTTTCATCTTTTTGAGTGAAGAGAAATTATCATAGGCCACAAATAACACATAATACTGTTTTTGTTTTTGTTTTTGTTTTTTTTTCTTGGTACATTTTAGGTATACATTATAATGAAATTGGAAATTTGCACCTTTACATAATCTATCTTGGTTCTTAGTTTTATCCCATTCCCCTGCCTTCCCTTCAACCCCTCCATCCCTCCCTATTTGCAAAGTCTTTTTTTTTTCTATTCTTTCATTTTCTCATATTATATTAATTCCATTCCCTTCTTTCCTTTCCCCTAACCCTCCTTTCTCCTTTTCATCCTATTTACCTTTTAGTTTTTATTTACACTTTCAGTTCCACGCACCAAAGAAACTATTCAGTATTTACATGTGTGTCCTATTTATTTCACTTGAGTATTACCTCAAATGTGCATCCCTTTAGCTATACATTTCTCTAATTTCTCATTTTTTAAGGCTGAGTAGTTCTCCATTTTATTAAAAAAAACACATTTTCTTTATCCAGTCTCCAGTTGATGGGCATTTGGGGTGCTTCCTAGCTTTAGTTATTACAAACTGTGCCACTATGAACATGGGTACACATATGTTTTAATTCTTTTTGGGAAATAGCAGGGGAATAGCTGGGTCAAATGGGACTTCCAATCCTAGTTCTTTGAGGTATCTTCATACTGATTTCCACAGTTATTGGACTAGTCTACACTCCCACCAGCAGAGGAGCAGGGTTTCTCTTTCCCCACAGCCCCACCACCATCTGTTATTGGTTGATTTCACGATAGCAGCCATTCTTTCTGGGGTGAGGTAGAATCTCAGCATTGTTTTTATTTGCATCTCTCGAATGACCAGTGATGTTGAACATTTTTTCATATGTTTATTTGCTATTTCTGCTTCTTTATCTCAGAAATGTCTGTTCATTTCAGATGCCCATTTTTGGACTGGGTCTTTAAATTTGGGAGGTCTGATTTTTTAAAACTTCTTTTTATATTCTAGACAGTAGACCTTTGTCTGAGGAATTACTGGTGAAATTTTTTTCCCACATTATGGGTTGTCTCTTCACACTGTTGGTTTCTCTTGCTGTGCAGAAACTTTTTAGTAAGAAGACATCCCACTTGTTGATTATGCTAGTTCAGATGCAACTGAGGTTTTCTTCATAAAATCTTTTCCTACACCAGTGTCTTCAAGAGTTCTGCCTAACCTCTCTTCCAGCTGGTTTAGTGTTTCTGTTTTAATATTTAGATCTTTAATCCATTTCAATTTTACTTTATTGCATGGTAAGGGATATAGGCCTTGTTTTAATCTTTGGCAAGTTGAAACCCAGTTTTTCTATCACCATTTATTAAAGAGGCTGTCTTTCCTCCACTGAAGATGGTTGGCTCCTTTGTCAAAGATGAGGTAGTTGTGTACATCTGGAGCTGTTTCTGCATCTTCTAATCTGTTCCACTGGTCCTTAGGTCTGTTTCTTTGCCAGTACAATGTTGTTTTTATCACAGTAGCTTTGTAGTATAGTTTGAAGTTGGGGATTGTGATAACTCCTACCTTGTCTTTATTGTCTAGAATTGCTTTTTGCAATAGGTCTCTTCTTCCAAATGAATTTTTGGATTGTTTTCTCAAGATCTGTGAAGTATGCTACTGGGATTTCATTTGGGATTGCATTGAATCTATATAGAAGTGTTGGAAGTATGGCCATTTTCACAGTGTTGGTTCTTCTACACAGGAGAAAGGGATATCTTTCCATTTTCTCATAATCCTCTTCAGTGTCTTTTTTCAAAGTGTTGTAGTTTTCAGAGTAGAGGTCTTTGATTTCTTTTATTAGGTGGATTCCTAAGTACTTTAATTTTTCGGATGCTATTGTGAAAGGGATTGTTTGTCCCACTTCTCTCTCAGTCTGTTTTTTTGTGTACAGGAAAGCTGTTGAGGTTTGTGTGTTGACCCTGTATCCAGCTACTTTGCTGAATTTGGTTATTAAGTCTAGATGATTTTTGGTGGAGTTCTTACGGTTTTATAGATAGAGTATCACAACATTTGCAAATAATGGCAATTTGACTTCATTTCCTGTCTTTATTCCTTTTATTTCTTTCTCTTGTCCAATTGCTGTGGCTAATGTTTCCAAATCTATTGAACAGGAATGGTGATAGTGGACAGCCTTTTCTTGTTCCTGATTCTAGTGTGAAGGATACCACATGGTATGATAGTGGCTATTGTTTTTTTGTTTTGTTATGTTTTTGTACCAGAGATTGAACTTGGGTCCTTGTGCTTTTCAGGCAGGTGGCGAAACCACTGAGCTAAATCCCCAGCCCAGCTGTTGGGTTTTCATAGATAGCTTTTATCAGATTGAGGTAGAGAGCATCTATTACAATTTTTTGGAGGGTTTTTATCATAAATGTTGGTTCTTTTTGTCCAATGCTTTTTCTGCATCTTTTTTTTTTTGGGGGGTACCAGAGATCAAACTCAGGTCCTTGAACTTGCGAAGCAGGCAGCACAACCACTGAGCTAAATCCCTGGCTGCATATTTTTTTTTAATCTTTTTGAGTTTATTGGTACTTTTAAGTATGTGATACAGTTAACATTCATCATTGGGATCTTGTACCTTTACGTGACAGATCTTGCTTCTCATTTTTTCCCCATGCATCTATTGAGATGATCATATGGCTCTATTAATATGGTGTATTATATCTATTGATTTGCATATGTTGAACCATCCCTGCATCCCTGGGATAAATCTCACTTTGTCAGGATGTATGATCCTCTTGATGATCTGTATTCTATTTGCCAGTACCTTATTAAGCATTTTTGTGTCTATGTTCATTAGTGAGATTGGTCTATAGTTCTTTCTTTCAGTTGGATCTTTCTCTGGTTTGGGTATAAAGGTGATGCTTGCTTCCAGAAATGATTCAGGAGTATTGCTTCCCTTTCAATTTCATGAAAAGTTTAAACAGTAGTGGCAGTAGTTCCTCTCTAATGTCTGGTAGAAATCAGAAGTGAAGCAGTGAGGGCCCCAACTTTTCTTAGTTGGTAGATTTTTAATTACATTTTTAAATTCATTGATTGATATTGGGTTGTTTAGAATCTATATCTTCATTCAACTTTGGTAATTCATATGTGTCTAGGAAGTTGTCCATTTCTTCTGAATTTTCCATCTTATAGGCATATATAGGTTGTTAAAGTAGGTTTCGATGATCCTCTGGATTTCTGCTGGGTCCATTGTAATTTCACCCTTTTCATTACTAATTGTATGGATTTGGCTTTTTCTTTCCTTGTTTTGATAAGGTTGGCTAAGGGTCTTTCAGTTTTGTTTCTTCTTTTGAAGAACCAACTCTTTGCTTCTTTGATTTTTTTGTATCATTTTCTTAGTCTGTATTACATTGATTTCTGCTCTGATCTTTATTTTTTTGTTTGTTTGTTTTTTGATTTTTTTGGTACCGGAGATTGAACTTGGTTTCTTGCGCTTGCAAGGCAGGCAGCGGAACCACTGAGCTAAATCCCCAGTCCTCTGATCTTTATAATTTCCTCCCTTATATGAACTTTGGGTTTGTCCTGCTCTTCATTTTCCTAGAAGCTTTAGGTTCAGCATCAGGTTGCTCTGATTTCCTAATATGAGTATTCACTGCTATGAATTTCCCTCATAACAGTGCTGTCATTGTGTCCCATAGATTCAAATATGTTGTATTGTCATTGTCATTTAATTGTAGGAACTGTCTGATTTCTTCCTTAGTATAATATGTTCTGTGATACATTGGTTATTCAGAAGTGTGTTGTTCAATTTCCATGTGTTTATGAAATCCTTGTGGTTTATTTTGCTATTGATTTCCAATTTCCTTGCACTATGGTCTCATAATATACAATTTCTTTGCACTTACTTAAACATATTCTGTGAGCAAGTATGTGGTCTATTTTGGAGAATGATCCATGTGCAGCTAAAAAGAATGTGTATTCTGATTTTGTGGGGTGGAACACTCTGTAAACATCTGTTAAGTTCATTTGTTCAAGAATTTGATTGAGTTCTAGTATTTCGTTGTTTCTTTTTTGTCTAGTCGATCTTTTTGTAACGATGTGGTATTGAGTTCTACTA